GTCTTGCTCTGTCATCTAGGCTGGAGTGCAGGGCCGCGATCTCGGCTCACTGCTACATCTGCCTGCTGGGTTCATGCCATTCTCCTGCCTCACCCTCCCGAGTAGCTGGGACTACAGGCGCCCGCCACCACACCCAGTTAATTTTTTGTATTTTCAGTAGAGATGGGTTTTCACCGTGGTCTCGATCTCCTGACCTCGTGATCTGCCCACCTCGGCCTCCCAAAGTGCTGGGATCACAGGCATAAGCCACCGCCCCCGGCCAAATTTTTTTAATGAGGAAAAAGTCAAATGGCTGCACGTGCAGCCCTGACATACTTCCTTGTAGTGCTTTCACAATAAGGTTTGGGAAAACAGGAGCAAATGGCAGCTCTGTTGATCTTGGTGCCACCTAGAGTTGGATTCTAACAGGGACTTTGTGATCTAGAGAGGTGGCAAATAGACTATTTGGTGGGATGTGTGGGTAGGTGTGTGTGTGTGTGTGCGTGTGTGTGTGTGGATGGTGGTGGAGAGAGATAGACACAAAAAGGAAAATGTGAGGAAAGGTTTTAATGAAAGCAGAGCAGATATCACCATCTTGAAATTACCATTACCCAGCTTTTGGCTGGGTGCCGTGGTTCACACCTGTAATCCCAGCACTTTGGGAGGCTAAGGCGTGTGGCCCCCTTGAGGCTGGAGTTCAAGACTAGCATGGCCAAAACAGCGAAACCCCCGGTGGCACATGCCTGTAATCCCAGCTACTTGGGAAGTTGCTGTGAGGAATCTCTTGAACCCGGGAGGTGGAGGTTGCAGTGAGCCGACATGGCACCACTGCACTCCAGCCTGGGCGACAGCGCCGGACTCGATCTCAAAAAAAGGGAAGGAGCCTGGGGCAACAGTTACCATTCAAGAAGGAGCAGGAAGCCCAGTAAGGAAAAAATTAGCATGGGGGAATCCCAAATTCTTTATATAAACTTAGTTCAAGTTTCTGGCTGACTACTCTACCGTACGTACTTGAGGAAACATGAAAGCAGCTTGCAGCTAAAACTTCCAGAACTGAGCTAAGATTGGAGTTGTCATCTTAGGAAAGGCAGGAAAGTTTGCAGTTTCAATCTAAGTTAACAGCCTGCTAAAATAAAAACAGCAAAACTCTTCAGACCAGTTTAACAGAATCGAGAGTCTCTACAACGTAATATTCACAATGTCTAAATACAATCCAAAATTATTCAACAGGAAAATGTGACCTAATCTCAAGAGAAGAGACACCCAATAGAT